GATGAGGAACGCCGTGCTGGAACCTGGGCAATGGTGAAGACAAGTGGTGCGGCAGAGCGTCATCAAGGCAGTGCTGAAGATGAGGAACGCCGTGCTGGAACCTGGGCAATGGTGAAGACAAGTGGTGCGGCAGAGCGTCATCAAGGCAGTGCCGAAGGTGAGGAACGACTGCCGGAAGCTGGGCAATGGTGAAGACAAGTGGTGGGGCAGAGCGTCATCAAGGCAGTGCCGAAGATGAGGAACGCCGTGCTGGAACCTGGGCAATGGTGAAGACAAGTGGATCTGATGGAGACGATTGAGGTGTGGCTCGCTGGCTCTTTGAAATTGATCTTCCTAGGCTACACAGTCTGGGAAGAATGGGGGAATAGGGCATGATACTCGTGCAACACCACATCGGAGTCTCACTGAAGTCATTTCTAGTAGAGAAATAGGAAAAAAGACGTCACCCATCTGCAGCGTGTGATTGACTATTAACAGGAACGATTGGGGATGGTCAATGAAAACAAAAAGCGGAGCGAAAACTGCTAACAATAACTTTGTCCGTACCAGGTGTTGCACTATCGATGTGCTTCATTCTTCTGACGCACCCTAGGGATGGATTGGAACTCGAAAAGTGTAAAAATGTTTCGAAAGCAAACTAACCTGAGCACAAGGGCAAAACTTCGGAGCCAACAACATTTTTCGTAGTGAATTCAGCAATGAGTGGCCATAGCTATCAAACGATCCTTTAAAATCGCATTCGGATCTACAGTGAACGCGGTAGACGGATGTGAAGAAGAGTTTCGAAGCGCTTATTATAGGCAAATCCGCTATGTTAGGGTGATTGGCTTTGTAGATCATTGACCCTTTGTTGTATGTGAGAAAATCATCATGAAAATATCAATTCCAACATACTACGTGGCACAGCGATGGTGATGTTTTTTTTTGTTAGAAAAACAGAACAAAACAGAAAACAATCAAGAAGGTCTTGAATGGTTCGGTGAGAATGAGGTGTTGAAACATTTGTAAGAATGAAAACTGGGATCTAATATACTTTTTTGTAAGTATAATTGGCAATTTACCCCCTCTAACTTTTCCATTCTTCTTAACTTCGCCTTTAAGCATTTCATGCAGCTTCAGTATGACCGCCATAATTCGGAGGTCAGGGTAAATTTTCTAGAATCGTCTACAAACAGTTATCGATTGGAGAATCGCTTCTAAATCCTTCTTCAGGTCCTCTTCTCACAGATTAGGAAACGGTTGCGTGGAACTACTTCTAACCGGATTGCTCGAAGCCCAAAAAGTTAGAAGAACGGAGTGTTCTGATGGCGAAGGCGCAGCCAGCTAGAACACTCCAATTCTCAGAATCTTGATATGCTCTGTTCAAATCTCGACATTCTGAAACACTCAAGTTCGGCGAGGCCACTAGGTAGAGGTTAGTGGATTTTTTTCAGAAAATAATATTCTCAAAAAAGGACCCTACTCATCGCTTTCCTGTGCAACCCTCAGCCAAGCCAAATGATTTGAATGACACGCAATGGGCCCATTTGAAAACATCCTTCATGTCGTCATGGTAATACGTCACTGCCGAAGCCTTAAACGATGCAAGCCGTTTTTTTAGTTTTTGGCATGGTGCCATCCCATGAAAAACCCTTGCTCGACGTGTCGCTCTGCATGATCTTGAGTCCAAAACATTTATTCACTGAGAAATTAACTTTCCAGCAGGTCTTCGTCTGCTCTGCATTTGAGCAGGCTAAGAATATCGAAGAGCATGCCTTACATTCATACGAAAACCAGTATAAGTAAAGTAAGACTGCAATGTGGAAAGAGTTAAATAAATACCAAGTGGATGGTACCGCAAAGGAACTTTTAAATGGAATGATTACTAAAACATCATCTTTGACAACGTGAAAAACTTGTACTCCTCATCAGATGGGAAAGAGTTTCGTCTTGCATGAATGCCTAGGATTTTCAGAGGTTCTAAATGGGATCATCACTGAGGGTTCCTCTGTGGTAAAGTGAGAAGAATGTTCCCCTCATTTCACGAAAAATAGGTTTTCAAGAAAAAAGCTCGCAACTTTGTAGGAGATCTCCCTTCCATCAAAACAGAAGAAATTTTTTTTCTGGCTATATAGAAAAGTATCAGTTTAGGTACGGTACCATCCACAATCTCTTTAGTGATGCTATCTATCTGATGTATATTTTGGTTTTTTGAAAAAGTTTAAGCTTTTCTATGGATTTTCTAATTTTTGAAAGGTTTGCTTTCATATCCCACTTTTCCTAATTGTATGGCACATCCTCTGGTCTTTAAGTGGGTGATCGAACAAAATAACCCCTTTTTCACTGATGATATGCAAAGAGTGGTGTTTGATGAGATACGGGCCAATAGCTCTGCGTGTGAAAATGCAATGCCCATGTCCCATCATTGAACATTCATGAACTACCATTTGATGTTGCAAAAGATGAACGACATGAGCCAAGCCTATGTCAACAGAAGATCGTTGTTCTCACGCGATTTTTTCTTGTCATTTGGCCTCTGTTTTTATTCTCAGCCATTATAGGTAGAGAGTTTCTATTTAGGAAAAAGCCTCTATCCTCAAAGAGTAGTTATCCTCTCTAGCTACTGAGATAACAGGTCTAGGACTACCCAAACAATCTGGTTATTTCTAGGACTGGGCAAAATTCTAGTTGGGTGTTGTCGGTGGAGTTCCCGGTAGATTATCTTATTGAGCCCAGTTAGGCTTTTTTGAGAGATGCGATTGGCTTTTTCCTAGGACCGGTGGAATTGAGGTTACATTCGTGATTTAATTTCAACCTTACTTACTTACTTCAACGTTATCAGAATACCAGAAAACCTTCTTGTATATTTAAATTCTTCCGAACTAAGCCTCACCAGCATCAGACAGTTAGCACCATTTCGGTGAGGGAGTGCAGTAAAAGGAAGACACACACCTACTCAGTGCAACGCCCAAAAGAACCTTCACAGATTAATCTGTCAAATTTTCAAATTTATAGAAGTTTGTTTTGAATTTTTTATGGTTGTCGGAAAAATATCAGCTTTAGAGTGCTCATTTTGAAATCCAGCGCTTAAATAACATCCAATGATGGTTTGTAAGTTTACCCTCTGTAGAACACCGTTGACTCCTCGTCAGCCATTATTTTCATGACCATAGGCCCTCTTGAATTCGAGCGGTGCCCAAATCAGAACCTGAACTGAATATTTATTAAGTCTTCACAGAATGAAGGACAATAACTGTTAAGTTTGTGTATCAAGGCTTGGCTTACACGATCATTTGAAGATTTTCCAGATAGCAGTTCCCCAATGGACGACCCCAACTGCAGAAATCACTCACAATCAGTCGTTCTCATCTTGATGACTTCGAAAAGGGCACGTTCAGTGCCGCATCCCATTAAAAAAGCGTGGGTAGAGGTACTTAATCAGCAGGGTTCGCAGTAAGCCAGTGAGCCAAGCAATCGGCTGATTGCTTTGATTTTGAAGGAGCAACACAATTAGGGAATGATCAGAGATTGAGCTCAGTTCTCTTCGATTCGGTCACTCTGCATGAAAATGGTGAGGATCTTTCAGAATTTTATTGTCATTACAGTTGATATTGCTGGTCGATTTGTTATCATTTGTATTACCTGTCGCCCAGTAATCATCAATTTGTTAGAGCGGGTGCCAGTAACGCCTCCATTCGTCCTTGTCGCAGTCCCAGAGTGGCCCAATAGCTCTTAAACGATCTAGGGACACAAGGTATGTTCCTTTAATGCGGAACATCCGTAGAAAAGTCTGACCATCACGCTGACAGCAGCATTGACGTTCGTTTGACATCCCTGGGGATAACCACCCTGGCCCAGCGGTCACTACAATATCCATAAATGTTCGACCCACCTGGTCTCCGATTCTTCGGCGTAAGCAATGGTGTCGCTGATTTTCGTCCGCTAACGGAGCTCGGTATTCCGGATTCCTTTCTGCACGTACGTGTATAGGAAAATTCCGAGCATCGTCCTACTACAGAGCGGTAAGGAAAGTCGGTACCATGTTCATCCTGCCATCGTAGTGTCCACGTCTCAAAAACAGGAATAGGTAGAGCCCGACCTGGATGGTCTTCTATACTCGATGTTCTAACTTAATAACTCAAGCCAGCTGGTAGAAATGTCTCAATGAGTATCCTGAAGCCCTTGTTCGGACTTGTTGTCAACATAGGCGATGAATTTGGAAGACTACAAAATTCCCACCCAAACCAAACATTTTTTCCGCTTTTGGTGGTATTAAATTTTGAATATGGTCAGTACTTGGTTGGCTTTGGCAACTCGTCCTGGAGAACCATTGCAATTCAAAGATTGCTTATCTACATGGAAAAAAGTGCACAGCCACTACCGCAAACAAATTCTGTTGTGGAACAATTTGGCCACTGAATATTCATTTCAACTGAATCTTTTTAATGTTTATAATGTTAATATGCTTATAATATTAATATGTTGATTTGAATATTTATAATGTTTTGTTAATATATTTATTTCCTGTTTAATACACATATTTTGTCTTCTAAAAACCATTGTGAGAGTTTCTCAGAAGCAGAAAACAAAAAGTCCTCTTGCGGTCGTTCAACTTCTGCTGTGCCCGTAATTCGCTTTTGACTGGAAGATCTATAAACTCTCTGGACAAAATTTTTTCTGCCCATTGCTTATGCAGCGTCATCTTCATTGGACTGTAGAGAGAAGGTTCATAAGCGACGGAATAAATTATTAAGGACGGGCAGGGTTTACTTCGAAAATTTCTCTCAGATTCCCAGCTTTATCCTCGCCGCCCTTTTGCCTGGCAAGTCAGCATCATAGCTTTCCTAATTTTTTTGACTAAGTCAGACAAAAATGCCTTTCACACTGAAGCTTTCTATTTCTATTTTTGTCGTAGGTCCAACCACTTTTGCGTTTTTGCTCTCACATCCGGGTAATGAGGGATCTGGAAATTGTGTACTAATATCGAATCCATCGTGAGCAATTTCTTCATTATACATTAGATTGGTAAAAAATTTTCAAAGCGATTTTTCTAAATTTCAATTGTAAACAAAATGTTTTTAATAAAATTTAAAATTTATAGATTCTTGACATGTGTTAGTCCTGAAATAGGGTAGTCAGGATGTCTTTTCCGTATAGGCATCTTTCACGAATGGGGGTACAGCATCCTCATTGCTATTGAAGGGGATTCTGAAGTAAGCCCTCGCCATCTCGCGATGAGGCCCATGTGTACCCTCTAACTTCCCTCCAGGATTTTGACAAGGAGTCTAGGAAAGCACTAACTCAATGGATTCCTCATGTA